GATTCATAGTGATGAAATCAGTGTTATTTTCTAGTATTTTAAATCTTATTTTAAGTCTACTTATTTTATTTCATTCTAGCATTTAAAATCTAAGCCTCTGGTCTTATTTGTATTTGAATTGATTACCTTATGCCAGTACCCCTTTCCCTTTACAAAATCTGTTCCATACTCCATTTTCTCCATTTCCTCTATACCCTTTCCACCACCATTCTCTTCTACAGTGTTTTACAACCGTTGACGTCTAACACATTTTATCCTAATCTACTCTACAGTATGGCCGTATGAACCTTTAATGCCTAGCACATGTTTGTTCTAACCATTAACCGTTTCCTCCTGCAGTGTAGCTCTCCCTTCCTCAAACTCATGCTCTCCAATTGATCTGATCTGAACGCCCTATAACATTAACCCCTCCCTCTTTCTTACAAATCCCCGTCATACTCCATTCCCCTCCTCTTACTCTTTTCACTGCCATTCTGTCCTACAACACTAACATCGAACAAATTTTATCCCAAACATTAACATATTTCAACCCTTTCTCACTACAATTCACATCTATTTTTTTTTTTTTTTTTTTTATCCTAGACGTTAACACATTTGAACCTTTTTTCACCATTGTGTTATGAGACGTTTAATGTCTAGCACGTTTAAGTCTTCTAACCCTGCCCATTTACCATTCCTCTTCGTATCTCAGTATAGTCATCACTTCTATAAGTCACTTATTATAACCATCAGCGTTCTTACAAAAAATAGAACTTAGTTTTGTGAAAAAATTATATTTTAATTTATTGTTACTGGCATTCATATTGATACTGTAATAATAGGATTTTGATGACAATTAGCACTGGCATTTCTTATTATTATCATTTCTGTGTTTGTACTACATCATCATATGTGTGATCGGTTTTCCTTAAATTGGGTGTAATTCTTATTGTCATTAACAGTAATGAAAATTCTCTCAAAATTCCCATCATAAATGTTTATCACTTCTGTATTTATATAACAGTACATTATGAAAAGATATTTTTTTATTACTTTTAGTACCTCATGTCTAGTTACCACCACCACTCCTGTTTTGTTTTTTGTTTTTTTATTGTAGCTTTCCTCATTTTGGTAATAAGTGATACCAAATAGTTTGTAATAGCTTCTGCATTCTTAATATCAACATTATGTAGTTCGTTATTAGGTGTGCTTTCCATTCACAGGATGAGTTTCCTTGCTGATGGAATGCCTTTGGCCTCAGTCGTGAATGAGGGAATATTAGGCACAGGAATCAGTATCAAAGAAGAACTCAGCGAAGATATTTCCAAGGATATTTGTTTAGAAATTAAAGAAGAACAGCTCGATTACGCAGATCATGAGAGAGACGAAGTGAGCGACGTGAAAGTGAAACACGAGTGTCTTTTCTTTCATAATCTTCATGACCAAAGGCATGAAGCAGATGCAAAGGACTCGTGTGACTTGGCTCAGGATCATAGTGACGTGTTAACAGTGCCATTAGTGGCTAAGGATTTTTGGAACAACTGTTCACCAGAAGGGGATTAGGCGATACATAAGGACAGTCTTAGGGATACAGAACCAGAAGTGGAACTGACGCTGAAGCGTCTTGTATGCGAGGCGTGCGGCAAGAAATTCTCTAAAAGGAGATATCTCAATATTCACATGAGAGTCCACACAAAGGAGAAGCCCTACAGATGTGATATTTGCGACAAGGGCTTCCCATCCAAAAACAATCTAGTAAAGCATATCAGAGTACATACAAAGGAAAAGCCATACAGCTGTGAAATCTGCAACAAGGCCTTCTCGGAGAAAGGTCCTCTAGTAACGCACATGAGAATACACACAAAGGAGAAGCCGTTCAGCTGTGAGATTTGCAACAAGGCCTTCTCACATAAATATAGTCTTGTTAGGCACACGAGAGTACATACAAAGGAAAAACTATACACCTGTGAGATCTGCAACAAGAACTTCTCACACAGAGATAGTCTAATCAGGCATATGAGTGTGCACGCAAAGGAGAAGCCATTCAACTGTGATATTTGCCCTAAGGCTTTCCCTTCCAAAAGTGTTCTAGCAAGGCATATCAAAGTACATACAAGGGAGAAGCCATATAGCTGTGTGACCTGCAGCAAGGTCTTCCCAGAAAAAGGTCACCTGGCAACACATATGAGAGTACATACAAAAGAGAAGCCATACAGCTGTGAGGTTTGCAACAAAGCCTTCTCGCATAAAATCAATCTAGTTATCCATGTGAGAGTACATACAAAGGAGAAGCCATACAGCTGCGAGGTTTGCAGCAAGGCCTTCTCACATAAATCTAATCTAGTTATCCACATGAGAGTACACAGAAAAGAGAAGCCGTAAGGCTATGAAGCTTTTTATGAAACTGTTACCTAATGCAAATTCTTTATACAAAACTGTTACCTAATGCAAAATCTTTTCACGAAACTGCTACCTGGTGCCAAGTACGAGAGAACGCCCAAAAGAGGAGCCAAACGGACGT